CAGGTCGTCACTCCATCTCGCGGGGAGTCAGCCCTACACTTCGCCTACTGGTACGAGGCTGCGACTCAAGAACCTTTCTTTCCCATCGGTTGTCGGATCTTCGAGCTATATGGCCAGCCCACTGCCACTTCAGCTTACTAATCCGTTGGGCTATGTCGGTTACTCTGGTTCTACTGCGGATATACTCATTTCTAAGTTTATCACCTAGAGAAACCCCGAGCATAGCCCTCTCCATAGCTCGCTGAGCGACCTTGAGCTTCTTCATACGGCCAGCAGTGAAGGACCACGTCTCAGATTCGTAAGTCATCACTGGCAACACGCACTGGTTGTAAAATTTCGTTTTAAGGTTTTGAGGTATGTCTGACGAGAAGATGTGTCGTAGTTTCCCGAACGCTGCCCAGCCGAGTTGAATCCGTCGATTGACCTCTCGGTCGAAGTTGGACTTACCCAGTCGGACTATTTGTCCCAGGTAAACATACTCGTCAACAACTTCGAGCTTAGTGCTCCCAACAACTACCGGCATAGGTGTGACATGGACATTAAACATGATCTTTGTTTTGTCCATGTTCATCCTAAGACATATTCGTTGGGATACACTATTGAGGTCATTGAGCATGGTGCTTAAGTCCTCCAGCGATTCTGCCATAAGGACTATATCGTCGGCAAATCGAAGGTGAGTGATGTACTCGCATTGATGTTAATACCGTATCCTTTCCAGTCCAGAAGCTTGAAAACGCCTTCCAATGCAGCGGTTAAGAGTTTCGGGGATATAACGTCACCCTGTCTTACACCTCTCTGCAATTGGATAGATTTCGTACTCTGGTTCTGTACTCGGATAGCCATCGTAGCTCTATTGTACAAACACTTCAGCACTGTCGATATACCGACAGTCAACTTGGCACCGCTGAAGGGACTGCAGCACCGCCCAAATTTCGACGGAATCAAAGGCTTTCTCATAGTCCACATACACCAGACATAGTGGTAAATTGTACTCTTCGGACTTCTGTACAATTTGCCGAAGGGTATGTACAATGTACCGGCTTGTTCGGGAGACTGGAAGTCGTCAAGTCTGCGTGCGAGACGATTCGTAATGACTCTCGGAAACAGCACGTAGACGCGGCTCAGAAGGAAAATCGGTCTGTAGTTCTTCAAGAGAGCATTGTCACCTTTCTTGAAGAACAAGACCACCGCACTTCTGTTCCACGCCTCCGGTGTAATGCCACCATGGAGGACGGAATTAAAGAGCTTCTGAAGGACTTCAAGTACCGGTCTTCCACCCGTTTTAAGAAGCTCCTCTGTAATTCCATCCTCGCCTGGGGCCTTGCCGTTTTTAAGAAGCTGCAGAGCCATTCTAATGTCGCTCAGACTGACGTCCGGGATATCTTCGGAATAGTGTCGGATAAGACTCGCTCTTGGATCGTTACTCACACTTGCGTGTAGCTCCAACGATGACGTGTACAGCTGCCCATAGAACCTCTCAATCCCACTCAAAATTTCAGGTGCCCCGGAAACGATGCTGCCACACTCGGTCTTCAGCTTCGACAGTTGGCTCTTTCTGGCAGATAGATCTCTGGCAAAGACTTTGGAGCCTTGGTTCCGCTCGATCGCTTCTTTAATACAAGCTGTATTGAAGTTGCGTAAGTCCCGCCGCATGCATTTGGAGATCTGTCTGTTCAGTTGCCTGTATGCTGTCAAATCTGTTGAAGAATGTAGTTTCATTTCCCGTCTAACAGCCGTGAGATTAAGAGTGTGATCGGAGAGTTTTTGTGTTCTTCTGCGGCGGGTCTTGCAGAACTTACCTTCGACCGCATGGACAGTTTCCACGAGCTTGTCATTCATATCGTCCACTTCATTGCAATCTTCTAGGCCCTGAAAACGGTTTTATAGCTCGAGCTGAAAGGTTTTGGGACTTTGGAACAGAGCACGAGGGGGACGGAGCGTTGACTTCATTAGACGAGACCTCTCCAACTTAACGTTTAGGTTCAGTGTGCCTCTAACCATTCGGTGATCGCTACCAGTTTTCACCCTCGCGATCATGGAGACATCACTGAACAATTGTCGTCTGGTCGTCATAATGAAGTCAATCTCATTTTTTGTCGAACCGTCGGGGCTCGACCAGGTCCACTTCCTGTGGGACCGCTTCTGGAAGAAAGAGTTCATCATAAAGAGTCCTTCGTTCTCCATGAAGTCGGCCAGCTGCTGGCCCCTTGGGTTCCGTTGCCCTATTCTAAATTTCCCTACTTTCAGCTCACCGTTCTCTCTTTGCCTAGTTTTGCTTTGAAATTTCCCATTAACACCGTATATTGGGTTTTGGAGGAATGCATGGCTCTAGAGATATCCTCATACATTTCCTCCAACTCCTCATCGGGGTGTGCCGAGGTTGGTGCGTAAACCTGTATGACCTTCAGCGAATACCGTTTGGTGATTCTGAGTATAAGGTACGCAACCCTCGTCGACACACTCTCAATCTTTACAACGTTGTTAACGAGAAACTTGTGGGCGATAAATCTGACACCTCCTTGGGACAGATGGTCGCCCTCCCGGTGATAGAGCAAGTAATCTTATAATATGCCAGCGTAACTTGTCTCCAGCTCCACGATCCTCTCGTCAGTCCTCAGGGTGCGAGCGTTGTATGTTGCCAGGTCGAGTCGTCTTAGGTGGCAACTGAACCTCCACCGGAGATTCTTAGCACCTCCTGCCCCGCCGTTACCATGGTCGCCACCGTAGCCGGGAATAGCGGGGTCGCCGGGGACTGGCAGCCGTTTCTTTGTTACTGTCATTTCATAGGGGGTATTTGCCATAGTTGCCACGCTTGGCGAGCGGGTTGGCAACCGCAGTTTTTTTATTGTAAGTTTGTTGTTATCAGGAAGATGCTGCTGCCCATTTCCTGCCTGCCTCCCTTTGTCGCCTTTTACGACACCCACGGGAAGATATGGGGTAGTGGATATTCTTGACCGCCACTACACGGCACTTATTGATTCTAAATGTGAATAAAATAAAAAATAAAAATAGTTGGCGATAAAGAATGAGTTGAGTTAACTAGAGGGTAAGAGCGAATTTTGTAACGAGAGTAATTGTTTTTTTTTTTGTTGTAAACCACTATTTAACATCTTTTTGATCCATCTGAGATACCTAAACCGTGATAATTTAACATTTTATTGCATTACAAGGTCGACATTTAACTGGTAAAGAAATGTTAAGAGCAGTGGGAATGTTGCAGGCTGGAACTTTTCAACGTGACGTCGCTGAGGCAATAGGCACCACGAAAAAAGTGATTTCGAGGTTGAGGTCACGCTATCGTGGCACGAGATAAGTGGCGGAGAGACATCCAGGACTAAGCCGCATTACTACTCCCAGACAAGACCGTTTTTCGTATATTGCTGTGAGAAGTGTGCAATTGGTCCAGAGGCTACAGTTTGAACACCAGGTGCTTTCTGAGTGACTAAATTATGAGGAGGAGACTGCACGAAGCCAACTTTTATGCTCGTTGACCACTTCGGGTTCCAGCTATAAGAAGAGAAAATCGTGGACGTAGATTGCAATGAGCTGAGAACATGTGAACTAGGAACCTTATCAATAGTCGGTGGTGCTTTTCACCGATGAATTCCGATTTCGTTTTCATCCTGATTCGAGGAGAGTACGTGTATGGAGAGTTTCTAGTCGTCCAAGTCGGTTTCAACACTCTCTAGATGTTCATACATACCAAGGTGGTATAAGTATGATGTGAGCAAGAATTCGTTTTGGTGGAATAAAGGATCTCGTTTGGTTACAGGGCACTATGATGGCTGAAAAATACCGTAATGAGGTGCTAGAACCAATAGTCTTGCAAACAAATGGATCAAAATTTCCTGCTTATGCACGAAAATGCCCGTTCATATACAGCCAGGCCACCCTGGCCGTATATATACTGGCCATTAAGTACTAACAGCCTGGTTGCACGAACGTGATGTCACGGCCCAAAAATGGGCAGTGCAATCCCCAGATTTAAATGCTCCAAAGAAGAGCTCTAGGGGATTTTCTTGAAAATCTGGCTACAGAAGAACAACAAATTTTTATGCGTCTCGGTAGGACCTCGGATATTATTTCTCAACAAGATATTGACAACCCCAATCTGAGTATGCCCTACCGATGTAGATGGGTTATGAATGTCATGGGTGTCATTACTGATTATTAACTCTTAACTAATAGCCGTCGTAAAAAAGTTTTTACTTTACTTTATTTTTTAATGTATAGTTATATGCTCGTAAAAGTAAAGTAAAGTTGCAGCCTATTTACGTACCACTGCTGGGCACAGGCCTCCTCTCTCTTTAGGGCAAGGAAATGTCCGCCGCGCTGCCTTTTTTTTAATTAAAATTATTTTTTTAATGTTCGAGTTTTTTGAAAAAAGGTTATTTCTTTACGTTTGAATACTGACTCTGATAACGCACTTCGGGAACCACAGGGTTTTTGTTACAAGTTGTATATGAAAATATTTTATGTCGATTTGATTTTGAGCACGTTGACAGCTTTCGAATATAATGTGTAATAAAAAACCACAATATTATCCTAACTCACCTGTATCAGAATTGATGCTTCATCATATAGACGGGATGGTACATTATAGGATTGTGGCATCATTGAGGCGGAAGTAATCACAAGCGTTTAGAGAATAAGGTTTCTTTTTGCATAAATGTTGGTTCCAGTTAGGACTCCAATCAAGGAAACTTAACCTACTGCGAAATATTTTAGTTTCCTTGTCGTTGTTTTTTAAGAAAACATTAGGAGAGGATTTTCTGTGTCCATGGATGAATTTAGTATTTTTTTGCTTAAATATAAGAAATAATTATCATTAGCCTTATTAAATTTACTGCTTGGTATACCAGCTTTTTCAAAAATGCCTTGTCTGGTTCTAATTATTTAAAATATTAGCTTATACTCAAGAAAGGGACTTTCTCAAAGATATTTTAAAATTAAACACAATAATTTAGCCAACATAATACATTTAATAATAACGATATAATCTAATAAACACGGTTACACCCTACAGCAGGGGTCAAACCAATTATAGAGTAATCGATTGTAGGAACAGCAACTTGTATGTAGGAACCATCAGGCGAAACAATTTCGCTTATAATTGTAACTTCACCATCCCCACATCCGTATTCAACAGCTCCTTGACCCGCGGTAGTTATTGGACCTTCCAAAGCCGCCGTAGCTAGTATTGGCAATTGGCCACAAATAGAAAGTGACCCTTCCACAACCAGATTATCCGAGACGATCGTTACACCATTTGGAGCGATAGGCGACGCGCTGGTAACAGCAAAACCAGCGCCATGAGGAGAGGAGTATCCAGGCATTGCGGTGTTAGCAGCTAATGGTGCAACATACGCCATGCCATTGTATGCTAAATCATTGGGTACACTGTTACCAATGCCAGCATTGTAAGCTGTGCTTACACACTGCCCTGAAATCATCTGTAGAGATAAAAAAATGTTATTATCTAACTATATAGTATCTGTGAGCTTATTCACAGGTTCTAATGTAGGGTAGTCCACGCGCGATAAAACTCTTTTTAAATAGCGTGTTGAGTTGACTGTGTATTGTGACTTAACATGTTACGTTTATAATATCAAAGTATTATAAATTAAATACTTACATGAAACAGAAGCGCAGATAAACAAAATATGATGAAATTTACTAACATTTTTATTTGTTTGCTGTACAGTTTATGTAGGAATGGAGCATTAAATTTATGTAAATGTTTTTATACTGCACTTTAAAGAATATTAAGTCACATTTCATTCCCGTGTTTCTATTGATTGAATAATATACTTTGTTTACATGATAGTAGTGAAATAAGTTGACTTTTATATATTTCACTGTTACAATGCTTCTTATCGTTATTACATAAACCTATATTTCCATTATTTCGTATACGCAATGTGTAGGGTATGATTTAATTTTAATTAAAACATAATATTATTGAAAATTTTAAGCATTAAATTTCTGTTTTAATTTAGAATATGTTATTAATACATCTTTTCAATATATTAAATACATAATTTCATTATATTCAATAGTATTTCATGCTGCAAGTTTCGCATGACAGTGGAAATCACAGTTCGTTCGATGTTTGCAAGGCATAAGTGATTGACTTTCGCGTTTTATTATATTGACTTTGTCTACGTCGCTGCCGGAATTCGGTATCTCTTATATTTACACTATAAGTATCGGGCACGAGGTATGAGGTGATGACACGACAGTACTTTGTTTACACACTTATCAACAACATCAATAACATCATGTAAATGAATAAGATCTTATTTAAAACTAGCTGTTCCCCGCGACTTCGCCCGCGTGTTTTTTGGTGTTTTAATTTTTTTGCGCGGTAACCTAATTCTTTTTTTAAAATAAAAGTAGCCTAAGTTACTCCTTGTGACATCAGCTATCTGCCAGTGAAAATCCCGTCAAAATCGGTCCAGCCGTTTCGGAGATTAGCCGGAACAAACAGACAGACAGACGGACAGACAGACAGACAGACAAAAACTTTAAAAATTGTATTTTTGGTATTAGTACTGTATATACTTTCATATGCATTTAGTAAAAAGCTGTAATTTTGACATTACAAACAGACAGTTCAATTTTATTTATTTGTATAGATAATAGGAATTCATTTTGGTTTTTCTCGCAAATAAAAATGATAACTTAACTTTTTTTAATTTAATTTGTTTGACTTTTTTGGTGGATTAAGCGATATCACAATCTCAAGGTACCTTGAGATTGTGACAACTTCGAGCTTAGTACTCCAACCAACTATGAGCAAAGGTGTGACAAAGACGTTACACGACTGTTGTTTTGTCCATGTTCATCTTAAGATTTATCCGTTGGGAGACACTATTGAGGTCTTTGAATATAGTGCTTAGGTCCTCCAGCGATTCTACCTTAAGGAATATATCGTCGGCAAATCGAAGGTGAGTGATGTACTCGCCATTGTTATTGTTATTAATATCATATCCTTTCCAGTCCAGTAGCTTGAAAACGTGTTCTAAAGCAGCGGCGAAGAGTTTCGGGGATATAACGTTACCCTGTCTTACACCTCTCTGCAGTTGGATAGGATTTGTACTCTGGTTCTGTTCTCGGATATCCATCGTAGCCCTACTGTACAAACACTTCAGCATTTCGGCATACCGACAGTGAACTTGGTACCGCTAAAGGGACTGCAGCACCGCTCAAATTTCGACGAAATGAAAGTCTTTTTCATAATCATTAGTCAGAGACAAAGTGGCAGATTGTACTCTTCGGTCTTCTGTACAATTTGTCGAAGGATATGTATGTGGTCTATGGTACTAAAGCCTTTTCGACGATAACGATGGAAGCGATAAGTGATAAGTTAAGTTACATTTGTAGCAAATTTCTGGTTTCTGGTTTCATATGATCAGCATCATCATTGCAGATAAAAATTTAAGAGATTTAAGAAGAAACTGGTACCAATATTTGCAGTGAACATAGTAATTATGATGCCCTGGTCAAATTAACTGTGCTGAATGTTGTCGTCCTCAGTTTGTTTGATAAATGTTCCAATGGAATAGTTACGGGAAAACCGGAGAAGAAATAGGATGCAATGTAGACTTAAAAGCAATCGTAGTACTAAAATCAATAAAACTGTTATAATAACATTAGGTACATTACTTTCGTTGAGGACCACCTCGGGTGTCAGGCATTCAGTACCACCAAAAATTGTTTAAGGGGTGGCTGCGTTCGCGTTTTCTTTGCTTGCTCATAATTTTTTTTATTATTTATTAAAAATTTCATATACACACGTGGTATATAGTCGGATTTATTGTCTGAGACATTTTTTAACAGTCTACCTTGGTAATGAACAGATAGAATGAAGTGAATACAGAAGTAAAACGTTATCTGCTTTTAAATTACGATCCCTTCTTTTTGATTTGTAAGAAAGGTCCCAAATTATTAAATTGTTTATTTATTTATTTAACAATTTATGCACACACAAAATAATGTTACAATGAAGAAATAAAAAGATACATACGTTATTATTATTAAATAATTATATTATTTAAATTAAATTATTAATAGGCATGTCTTGAATTGAATCTAATTAAACATTTTGATAGTTTTAAATCCCTTTTGAAATTCGCCAAAGTTACATATTAATTTTATGAAACTAGTTTACTCGTATTTTATATAGGCCGTTTTACGTGTTGGTTTAAGTATCTCAAATATAAAATAAAACTGTTAAATGTTTTACGTCCTAATGATATAAAATCCTAAGACTTTTTATAATATCTAGTATATGCGTATGCATTTAAGTTCCAATAATGATAATAATACTGCTAAGTTACTTAAAACATAAGAATGTTAATCTTTAAGCATTTATTTACTTATCATTGAAATATTATACAGTATTAAAAAAACTAAAATAAAAAAAATGTGTTCACACGCGGTAGAAGTGAAATTTGTCACAAAAATAAACTTCGGGAGAATGAGACGAATGCAGAGTATCGGGCGTTGGATAATTGTAGGATTTATTTATTATCAGTATTGTTACCAGGTTTTAAAATTATTTTGCATTTTAATGTACATATTATATTACATGACATATTATAGTCTTCAAATTTTTAAGTTCATTGTCGTAAGTACTTAAATATTTTATATCTCCATATAATATAATAAGTAATCTCTATACTTAATAGGAAACACTGTATAATGTATTTATCTCATTCTATTGCGAGCCAAATCCTATGGATGTATAATTTGTCTTTTTTTTTATAGGAGAGAGGGCAAACGAGCATGCGGCTCACCTGATGGTAAGTGACTACCGCCGCCCATGAACAACCGCAACACCAGGGGAATTGCAGATGCGTTACCGGCCTTTTAAAAAGGAGTAGGCTCTTTTCTTGAAGGTCCCTAAGTCGTATCGGTCCGGAAAAATCGCTGATGGTAATCGATTCCACAAGGAAGTCGTGCGAGGAAGAAAACATCTTCTAAATCGCACAGTGGTGGACCGCCAATCATCCAGATGATGTGGATGGTATCGGGAGTTCTGCCGCGATGTGCGTTCATGAAATTTGGCGGCTGGAATTAATCCGAACAATTCCTCAGAGCACTCCCCATGGTAGATGCGAAAGAAAATGCAAAGAGATCCAACATCTCTTCGCAGTGCCAATGAATCGAGCCGATCGGAAAGGGCTCGGTCGTCGACGATTCGAGCCGCTCTGCGCTGGATGCGGTCAAGTGGAAGGAGCTGGCACTGGGGAGCCCCTGCCCAGAGATGGGAACAGTATGCCATGTGACGCCGAACCTGCGCCTTGTCTCTTTTTAGTGTCGCTTTATTGTTTCATCCAGTTACAAATCACAACGAATCTAAAGTTGTTTTCACTTCATAAATTAAAACTAAAATATTTAAATTATCATATAGCCCTACTTCCCTTGGAATCGTGTAAGAAATAATAATAATAATAATAATAATTTTACTGCAAGAAAAATCAGCTTTGCATGAGTGACAATACCAATACGATATTGTTTAAGGTAAATCCTGCTATTAAAAAATATTATCTAGCAATAAAATTTTCGACAGGCTTGTATTGTTGTAAGTAATATTTAGGTACATTAAATAAAACTAATTTTATGTATTTTATCGCCTTTTATTTTAACTGTTTGAAACCCCGACGTTTCAGGCATTTTATAGCATCCATGGTTGATCGAACGAACTTACAGTCAATCTTAAATTCTTGCAGTAGTATATGCTTGGGTTTTTATTCAACTTTATTAATCATGGGATAAGATGCAAAATAAAATAAATTAATATAAAAACATCAGCAATACACAATAAGCCGATGCCAAATGTAAAGTTGTCATTTGATCTCGTTCTTACGAAGCCAAAAAAGCTATGACGAAGCCCACCACGATACCTACCAGATTTACAAAATCATAACTCGTCTATCTAGGTCTGGAAGTGGATACCAAATGAACAACAACTACTGAACGGGTAGACATAGGTAATATATGAGAACACACGAACACAATGTAAAGAAATTCTAAATCAAATTATATATATTTTTTGCTAAAATGTAAATAGAATTTTTATAGTCGGAAAAGTTCATTGCAATATTTGGAGTCACCAATCCTCATAACGATGCCGTGTAGAGGCGGTTAAGAATATCCACTACACCATATCTTTCCGTGGGTGTCGTAAGAGGCGACAGTGGGAAACAGGTAGGAGATGGGCAGCAGCATCTTCTTGATAATAGCAAGAGTACAACTAAAATATTGCGGTTGCCAAACCGCTCGTCAAGCGTGGCAACCATGGCAATATACCCCTAAAATGAAAGTTACAAAGAGACGGCCCCCTGTCCCTGGCGGCCCCGCTATTCCTGACTACCGGAAGAGGTTCGGTTCCCACCTAAGACGACTCGACCTAGCAACATACAACGCATGCACTCTGAGGACCGACAAGAAGATACTGGAGCTGGAAGAAGAGATAAACAAGTTGCGTTGGGATATTATAGAATTATCTTAGGTTCGAAGAGAGCGGGAGGACACGGTAATCCTCGAATCCGGCAACTTGTTCAATCACCGGGAGGGCAACTATCTGTCCCAAGCCGGTGTCCGATTTATCGTCCATAAGTCTGTCGTTAACAATGTAGTAAAGATTGTAAGTGTGTCCACCTTACCAAACGGTATTTTTGTAGGTCATACAGGTTTACGCACCAATCTCGGCACATACTGATAAGGAGGTAAAGGAAATGAATAAGGATATCTCTAAAGCCATGCATCATTCCAAAGCCCACTATACGTTGTTAATGGGACTTCAACGCAAAATTAGGCACAAGAGAGAACGAAATACCGTGTAGTGGCCGTATACCGTGTAGTAGCGGTTAAGAATATCCACTACCCCATATCTTCCCGTGGGTGTCGTAAAAGGCGACAAAGGGAAACAGGCAGGAGATGGGCAGCAGCATCTTCCTGATAACAGCAAAAATACAATAAAAAAACTGCGATTGCCAACCCGCTCGCCAATCGTGGCAACTATGGCAAATACCTCCCAAATGGATAAAGTTACTAAGAGACGGCCCCCAGTCCCCGGCGGTCCCGCTATTCCTGGCTACGGTGGCGACCATAGCAACGGCGGGGCAGGGGGTGCTAAGAATCTCCGGTGGAGGTTCGGTTGCCACCTACGACGACTCGACCTGGCAACATACAACGCACGCACCCTGAGGACTGACGAGAAGATTGTGGAGCTGAAAGAAGAGATAGACAAGTTACGCTAGTATATTATAGGATTATCCGAAGTCCGAAGAGAGGGGGAGGAAACGGTAATCCTCGAATCCGGCAACTTGCTCTATTACCGGGAGGGCGGCCATCTGTCCCAAGGAGGTGTCGGATTTATCGTCCACAAGTCTCTCGTTAACAACGTTGTAAAGATTGAGAGTGTGTCGACGAGGGTTGCGTACCTTATACTCAGAATCACCAAACGGTATTCGCTGAAGGTCATACAGGTTTACGCACCAACCTCGGCACACCCCGATGAGGAGGTGGAGGAAATGTATGAGGATATCTCTAGAGCCATGCATTCCTCCAAAACCCAATATACGGTGTTAATGGGAGAGTTCAATGCAAAACTAGGCACAAGAGAGAATGGTGAGCTGAAAGTAGGGAAATTTGGAATAGGGCAACGGAACCCAAGGGGCCAGCAGCTGGCCGACTTCATGGAGAAAGAGGGACTTTTTATGATGAACTCTTTCTTCCAGAAGCGGCCCCACAGAAAGTGAACCTGGTCGAGCACCGACGGTTCGACAAAAAATGAGATTGACTTCATTATGACGACCAGACGACAACTGTTCAGTGATGTCTCATTGATCGCGAGGGTGCAAACCGGCAGCGATCGCCGAATGGTTAGAGACACACTAAACCTAAACGTTAAGTTGGAGAGGTCTCGTCTAATGAAGTCAACGCTCCGTCCCCCTCGTGCTCTAATCCAAAGTCCCGAAACCTTCCAGCTCGAGTTACAAAAACCGTTTTCAGTGCCTAGAAGACTGCAATGAAGTGGACGGTGTGAATGACAAGCTCGTGGAAACTGTCCATGCGGTCGGAGCTAAGTTCTGCAAGACCCGCCGCAGAAGAACACTAAAACTCTCCGATCACACTCTTAATCTCATGGCTGTTAGACGGGAGATGAAGCTGCATTCTTCAACAGATTTGACAGCATACAGGCAACTGAACAGACAGATCTCCAAATGCATGCGGCGGGACTTACGCAACTTCAATACAGCTCGTATTTAAGAAGCGATCGAGCGGAACCAAGGCTCCAAAGCCTTTGCCAGAGATCTGCCTGCAAGAAAGAGCCAACTGTCAAAGCTGAAGAACGAGTGTGGCAACATCGTTTAGGATACACCTGAGATTTTGAGAGAGATTGAAGGTTCTATGGGCAGCTGTGCACATCATCATTGGAGCCACACGCCAGTGTGAGTAACGATCCAAAACAAGTCTTATCCGACAAAATTCCCATGATATCCAGGAGTGAATGTATGAAGTCAGTTTGAGCGCGATTAGAATGGCTCTCTAGTACCTTAACAACGGCAAGGCCTCAGGCGGGGATGGAATTACAGTGGAGTTTCTGAAAGCGGGTGGAAGACCGGTTCTCAAAGTCCATCAGAAGCTCTTTAACTCCGTTCTCCATAGTGGGACTACTCCGGAGGCGTGGAGCAGATGAGCGGTGGTCTTGTTTTTCAAGAAAGCTAAACAACGCTGTCTTGTAAAACTACAAACCGATTTCCCTTCTGAGTGGCGTCTACTTGCTGTTTTCGAGAGTCATTATGAATCGTGTCGTACGCTGACTCGACGACTTCTTCACGTGGTAGAGCGATGCTGCAGCTATATTAGTATTATTGTTGTGGCACGAATGAGTTGGCTATATATATAGCCGCTATAGGATAGACCACGCTCTCACAGAATACCATCGTAAAATAGCAGCTTAACGCTGCTGTATTTCGTATGGTGATTGTAGAGAACCGGAGACCCATTTTACTGGAAAAGAGGCATTCCACCTTAGTCCTCACGGGTGACAACGCATCTGTATTTTGATTACTTATTGAGGATAAATGTAAATATCTATGGGTCACAGCAACCACTTACCATTAGTTGGACTGTGTGCTCGTTTGTCAACCTATTCTATAAAAAAAAAACTTTCAGCCTCCCGAACAAGCCGGTTTCCGAAAAGAATTTAGTACGGTAGACCACCATACATACCCTTCAGAAAATTGTACAGAAGACCGAAGAGTACAATCTGCCACTTTGCCTTACGTATGTGGACTATGAGAAAGCCTATCATTCCGTCGAAATTTGGGCGATGCTACAGTACATTCAGGGGTGCCAAGTTTACTGTCGGCATATCGAAGTGCTAAGGTTTTACTACAGTAGGGCTACGATGGCTATACGAGTACAGAACTAGAGTACGAAACCTATCCAACTGCAAAGAGGTGTAAGACAGGGTGACGGTATATCCCCAAAACTCTTCACCGCTGCATTAGATGACGCTCTCAAGCTATTGGGCTGGAAAGGATACGGTATTAACATTAATGGCAAGTACATCACTCCTTCGACTCGCCGACGGTATAGTCCTTATGGCAGAATCGCTGGAGGCCATAAGCACTATGCTCAATGACGTAAATAGTGTCTACCAAGAGATAGGTAGCTTCATCTTAAGGTACCTTAATTTTTATAATGTACATGGACAAAACAAAGATCATGTGTAATGTCCATGTCATACATATGCCGGTAGTTGTTGGGAGCACTAAGCTCGAAGTTGTTGACGAGTATGTTTACCTGGGACAAATAGTCCGACTGGGTAAGTCCAACTTCGACCGAGAGGTCAATCGACGGATTCAACTCGACTGGGCAGCGTTCGGGAAACTACGACACATCTTCTCGTCAGACATACCTCAAAACCTTAAAACGAAATTGTACAACCAGTGCGTGTTGCCAGTGATGACTTACGGATCTGAGACGTGGTCCTTCACTGCTGGCCGTATAAGGATGCTCAAGGTCGCTCAGCGAGCTATGGAGAGGGCTATGCTCGGGGTTTCTCTGCGTGATAAACTTAGAAATGAGGATATCTGCAGTAGAATCAGAGTGACCGATATAGCCCAACGGATTAGTAAGCTGAAGTGGCAATGGGCCGGCCATATAGCTCGAAGAACCAACAACCGATGCATCCATCCACTTCCTGTATAAGACATACAGGAAATGGATGGATGCGGGTAGCTCAGGACCGTGCTTTGTGGCTTTCCTTGGGGGAGGCCAATTTTTAGTGGTTGACTTGTGAGGGCCTGTAATGGTATGCATATATATATTACATATACTATAATGCGGCATGCCTAGTATGAGCAAATTTTTAAAAGAGTGCGTTATTCAAAAGTCTTGTATCGAACAAGGAAAATTAAGAAAATCATTGTGTAGTATCCACTAAATATAAAAAAAAATTGTATAGCCTAAAGATATTGTTCTTGTGTATTTATGTATGTAATATGCCAACAAGAAGCGAGGAGAAATGTAAGAAAATTATTCAAAAAACATATTGTCAGACTTCACATCGCCTCGAAATAGGTTTTACTATATACAAAAGTAAGTATGAAACCTCACCATATTTTGTTTTACTATCAAGTTGAAACTTTTAACTAAAATAACGAAATTAAATATTTTTATTGAAAATTACACATAATATAGTATTTAATCGGTATTGGTAGGAACTCTCAAAAACTCATCTCAACAAGTTACACCAATAAACAAAAGCCTAATTTACAATAACAGTGATATCGACACCGGAGATTAAACATAAGTTGCACGGCTCAATAATTCTGATGGAATATTCCCTTTACAGTGTTATTACATAGGAAATTAAACAGAAACAGCGTATATAAATCCATCTATTTATTGTTTAACAAATTTAACAAAGATCTATCCAATTTAAGTGAAATTTTGACAGGATCTCCTATGCTATGCAACCAAGGTAGTTTGGGCCCAATCCCGCAAAGCCATATCCAAAGCCTATTTCTCCAGGGTAACCAAATCCTTTGCCATTACCAAATTGTAATGCGGGAGGTGCGATTTCTTCAGATATGATACCGACTTCGCCATTGCCGCATCCATAGGATACAGCACCTTTTCCAATAGCAGGTAGTTTGGCTTCTACGGCTACACTGGCCAAGAATGGTAACTGTCCGTTTACAAGAATTGGCCCTTCAATAACTAAGTTGTCAGAAAATATGGACAAAGTTCCCGGTGGAATACTTGATGTACTTGTGACAGGAAAGTTTTCAACTATAACTGGTCCATATGTCAAGGGAGTCTCTGCGATAATTGCTCCGCACGGCGAACCTGCTAAAGGCAAGCCAGGATTTCCCAAAAATAATTTTCCAGTAGGAATGCTATTGCCGGTGATTCCTTTGTATGAATTTCCTATACATTGACCGTTGATTGTCTGCAAAAATAAATAAATATAAACATGAAATATTTCTTGCAGCAAATTTTTAAATATAAAAGTAAAGTTTAGTACAATATCAAACTCGTAATGACAAAGTATCCTCTAGTGAATCCTGCAAATTATTAATAATTACAGCAATAAATTACAACAATAATAAAGTAAAGTTAGCATAATATATAGGTCTACAGCTGGGCATAGGTCTTTTCTTATAACTGAGATGTTTAAAGACTAGTGATCTTTGGGGTTACACGGCTTGTTTGTAAGTAATAGTTTTAAATATTGTGATTAGATATTTAATTCAGTCGGCATTTGCCAAGTTTAAGGTTCTAGGATCTTAAGGTTGGGGTACTATGTTCCTGAACCACCACAGTTTCACTACAATACCAGTTCAATAATTGCATTTATATTAGTAAGTCTTATTACCACTAATTTTTAATTTAAATATAAAGATCGAAATACCTTTAGGAACAGCGACGAAACGAAAAATAATATAATTTTTGAATACATCTTTGTGTAATGAATGTAAGCACTGAATGTTATATTTGTTTCCAGTAAAAGTTTATATATCACTTTGTATAGCTTTATGTAAATATGTTATAAGTAGCAGTAATACTTTCATAACTGCGTTTATCGCGTATTGCTACTGGTTATTTTATTTATATTTTGTACATCCATGAAATATAAAATTAATATACATTTGACGTAATCAACATAATTTCAGTATATAACGACACACATACTGTAATTATGTTGTAACATTAAATAACGAAATAATATATTTAATATAAATGATGTTGGTTGATTCATGGACGTATAGTACGTGTATATATAGGAGGCAGTGAAATATGTTGCGTTTCGTTTGTTTACTTGCTTGTCTGTTTCAGGTAATTATTATAAATTTTTAATGTATTATTATTAAGGAAAAGTGACAAATTGACAATTAATATTAACCAAGCGAAGGGTTCATAATTACTGCCCCGTGCCCCACAGATGGCTCATTGTTGAGTCTTACTGTTGTGTCAACAAATCTAACAGTAAAAGTGTTATAATACTCGAGCGTATGTGATTGCTAAGTAATTATATATTAAGCTGTCACACACGAAAAAGCTCTTTTAAATTTTTTTTATTAAAAAATGTGACAAGCAAGTACATAGTCCACATCATGTCAAGTTGATGCTTTAGCCCATAGACGCCTACATTTATTCTCGATTAAAATTCAAAATATAGATACGTAGTCACCACTAACGACTAAGATGGAATGATTTGTTATCACTAATCAGTAAAAAGGGTCTCTAGTTCTCGACACTCACCATACGAAACACAGCAGCATTATGCTGCCATTTTACGCTGATATTCTGTGCGAGCGTGGTCCTTCTAAGCTCGAACCGACATAAACGTGTTGCAGTTGACTTTATTACATATCATCATTATGTCTAATCGTGGCTGGTATTCGCAACTCCACGTGTAAGCGCGTAATTTGCGTGCGGGCAGAAATTACAAGCTATTCGAGCCACAAGAACTCCTCGAGGAACCTTAGGAAGTTCTAACATTAAGAACAATGACCTCAGGGTGATGTATCCCGGTGTATATCTCGGTAATTATTTTTGTAGTTTGCAACCGCTGGCAAAGTATATAAAGCTATTGTCGGTGCCATCAGAGTATGTTTAGCTGTAGAACAGTTCTATTTAATTATTTTATAGTAAATAGTATTATTATTATTGGAAACAGTTATATGTTAATGTATCATAAATATAAATATATATGCTTTGTGGCATTCTTTAGGGCCTATGTTCGGCAGTAGACTTGTGAAGGGCTGTAATGATGATGATCATGATATAGTATTAACATTTTTCTTTGAAATTCCTATACTTTCATTTTTATTTAAGGTTGCTCTCGGCCAGTGCGCTGGTAGTCTAGGACAAATTGCACCAGTAAATGCAGTGGCTTCTGGTCCTGCATACGGATATGAAGAACTGGGTCGGGTACCAAATCCTGCCTTAGGGGTCTATAGAGGTCCAAGTTTCCCTGCTCCTTACAATTCTATTGGAAACTACGGAGGTGTCGGAACTGGAGATTTATCAGTGGTTGGAGAAATGCCTGTTGCTGGTAGCACCGTCGTTGTTGGCCAGATACCGGTGCTAGGCAATGTGCGATTCGATGGTCAAATACCAGCTGGTGGTATTATTTCAGTTTCTGGAAGTTGCAGCTGTGGAGTTAACGGTGCCATCATCAGTTGAATTTAGTACTTATTTCTTTAATAAGGTGTACGTTTGTTGATATATTCAATTAAAAAATCCTATAAAAAAAGCAAAAGATTTTTTATTCCTATAAGAAAAGATAAAAAATAAAATACCCTATACTTTTTAAATGATGAATATTTACAAAATAGTTACTATTTATTAATACCAAGTTACTTTGTGATTATTGATATTTTATATACTGATCTTTAAAAAAATATTTTTCATGTTTAATTTAGGGTATTTCTAACTTAAGTTTGCTAAAAACTCACTCATACATGATTTTATAAGAATTTAAATTATATATTTTAGTAAGAAAGTAAATTTAAATTTATATTTTATATAGAATGGCAAACGACACCAGACCTATCGTTAACTTAAGTATGTTCTATGATGTTTAAAATTTTGGAGCATATCAGTGTATAGCTAACTCGAGCTGACCAGCCCCCAAAAGCAGCACCTGTTTACAAGTATGACTCATGTAGCAGCCATTATCCTCCTCGACCATAAAAAATAATAATTAGAATAGAATAGAATAGAATAGAATGATTTTTATTCAATATGGATTATTACATAATACTTATTGAAAGTCATTATTTTATTTACCACTGGTTCGGAAAATACCTCTGTCCTGGGAAGAACCAGCAAGAAACCCAGCGGGACTTTTTTTTAAACATAATTTCACTTAACAATAATTTTGTTTATACAATTTTAAATGAATTTTCATAGAACCAGCATGGTGGCGATCACCTTATTCCCAGGGGTTATTTTCATTCATGTATTCCTTGATATTATAATAACCCTTTTTGTACAGTTTTTCTTTAATAAAACTTTTAAACTTGTTTATTGACAAACTTTGAACATGTTCTGGGATTCTGTTGTAAAAGCGTATACATTGCCCCATAATTGAATTACTAATTCTGTGGAGTCTTGTAAGTGGCATTACAAGCTTATGTTTGTTCCTAGCGTTTAAGGTATGAACATCCTTATTCTTATTAAAGCTATTTATGTTTTTATGTACATACATTACATTTTCATAAATATATTGCGATGCCAAAGTTAATATGTTTATTTCTTTAAATTTTTCTCTAAGGGACTCTTTACAATTTAGATTATAAATCGCCCGTACGGCTCTCTTTTGCAAAACAAATATAGCTTCAATATCAGTCGCATTACCCCATAGCAAAATTCCATAAGACATTACGCTATGAAAGTAACTAAAATACACTAACCTAGCTGTCTCAACATCTGTGAGACTTCTAATCTTTCTTACAGCATATGCTGCAGAACTAAGTCTGCTTGCTAATTTAGATATATGGGGGCCCCATTGAAGTTTCGCGTCAATAGTAATACCGAGAAAAACAGTGGTATCCACAAGACTCAACTCCTCCCCATTTAAGAGCACATTGGTTTTCGAATGTTTTACATTAGGTATTGTAAATTTAATACATTTTGTCTTATTGCCGTTTAAGAGCAAATTGTTGGCGTTAAACCAATGTACTAGTTTCGATAGAGCATTATATACATCGTCATATTTAATTGACTGCCGTTTCAGTTTGAAAATTAAAGAGGTATCGTCAGCAAATAATACTATATCGTGATTGTCCCCTACAAGATAAGGTAAGTCATTAATATAGATTAAGAACAGGAATGGGCCAAGAATCGAGCCCTGAGGAACGCCCATTGATACTACTGATCCGGAGGAACATTTACCATTAATGACGACTTTTTGAGTTCTGTTACTTAAATATGAAGTAATAAGTTTAAGCGCCAAATTTTTTACACCGTAATGTTGTAGTTTCCTGATTAATGTATCATGATGAACACAATCGAAAGCCTTGGAAAGGTCACAGAAAATACCTAAGGCATCTTGTGAATTCTCTCTTTTCTAATTATTAAAATATCAATAATCTTGGCGAAATTAACTTACCGTGTAGAAGTTTATGTAGCGTCATTAAGTCTAAAAGATTCGTCGGTCAGCCAGTGAACTCATTCCAAGATGAGAAAGCCTAGATTTAACTCTATTTCCATGAACGCGTTACCGTATAGCGTTATCTATATTATGTTCTATAAAGCTTAGTTTGTTATCAAGGACTACCCCAAGATCACGGGTGGATGAAGATTCACTCAATACGTCTTTATTAATGGAGCAACAAGAAGCAACAGTAGATTTATCCATATATTTATACACTAGTGTAGGTACACTTACAGGGATTAAGTTTCATTTTGTTTCTTTTGCACCATTTATGGATAGAATTAAGGTCATTTTGCAAAGATAGAACATCATCCTGATTTTTAATAGCCTTGAACAATTCATAAATCTTTGGCGAAAATGAAACAGTGACTGCACTTAATGTTATTTGCTATGTCATTAATAAACGCTAAAAAAAACAGGACCAGTAAATGAACCTTGGGGTACGCCTGACAGATCCACATAAACATTAGAGGTTTTTATACGTGGTAGAGACATGCTGCAGCTATATTAGTAGTTTAGTTGTAACACGAATGGGTCGTCTCGACCGGGGAAGGACCACGCTCTTACAGAATACCAGCATAAAATAGCTGCTTAAAACTGCTGTGTTTCGTATGGTGACTGTAGAGAACCGGAGACCCTTTTTACGGGAAAAGAGGCATTCCATCTTAGTCCTCATGGGTGACAACGCATCTGCATTTCGATTCTTTAATGAGTATAGATGTAGATGTCTATGGGTCACTGCAACCAGTTACCATCAGGTGGAATGTGTGCTCGTTTGTCACCCAATCTTATAAAAAAAACTATATCCATGCAATATGACACCTTGTAACCTATTTTAAGATAAGAACTTAGCCAACTTCTTACTTCGTTTTGCAATAGTTGGCTGATCCATGATCGGGGGCGCAAGATCCGTGCGCACCTATCGTTTTAGTAAGCCTATGTATGTACCGCTATTTTCAGCAATCGACTTGTGAAGGGCTGATGATGATGATGATGTAATCGAATAATGTATTAAAATTCCTAACCATTAAAAAAGCTATTTCAGAAGTTATATTAAAAATATTTCACTGCGTTTGTAATTATTAGACGTTTAATCGTCACAAAATGGCGGCGCTGTCATCGCTCTACTAGAGTAAATGAACCGAAGCCTAAATCGCGCTACCGAAGTTACAGAACTAAGCAGAACAGCTACCAAAAAGCTAAAAAGCACCAAGTTAAAAGATTTTAAATATAAAATGTCTCCAATACTATGAGGCGTTTGCTCCTAGTGTTTTTAAACTAGTTAGGAGCAAAAGTTTATATTCAGTTGTGATCAATAGTGGTCTATTCATTATGATAAGAAGGAGACAGTCTTCAAAATACATAACCCCTTCATAGTATTATTTCGAAAATCAACGTTTGAAATTATAATTATAATTTCTTTTATAATAATTTGTAACTATAGGAAACTACGAGTATATAATATGGTATTATATCAAATGGGATGCGGGAAGTAAAGACTGTGTAAGAACCTCCGAAGGAGGCGGTGTTATAGCCGAAATAAGAATTTTTATTTTTTTATTTTTGCCCGTTTTGAACCACTGTTATGAGACTTTTTGCCCCTATGCAACCATGACCTCCATCATCCTCTACATAATAGGCTATTCAAACTGACTATGCTAAAGTTCGAGCCACCCCCAATTTTTTGTATTTTTGGCTATTTTGATCCCTAGGAGTGTAATGAGAATTGTTTGCCCCTATTCAACCATGACCCCCATAACATCCTTTACATGATAGGCTATTTAAACTGACTAGGCCTATAGTTCGAGTCACCCCCCAACTCATTTCTAGTCTTTACTTCCAATTACTTCCAAATATAAAATACACATACTAATATTTATAAAAAATAGTTTCATCTGCGAAAACTTATATTTATTCAGAAAAATTAATCCCCGGACGGCTAAGGTCTATATCTACTCTTTGTTAGTTGTCTATTTGTAGTTATTGTAGAATATGCTGATGTCTACAATAGGACTGAAGTGTTATTGTAGTATATGCGGGTTGTAACTAAAGTGCTGCTAAGCAAACTCAGTCATTTGATCAACCTGTGCATACGCTATGATGTTTTTATTTGACCTTAAATCCCAATTTCGTTCAAGATGCAAGTAGTTAGATATTGGTTTTTGCCGGAACACTCATCTTCACATCTCCTGTTTCCCATCTTACTTATAAGACCGTTTTATTTATTTAGGTGTCCACAACGATTTCGTGCGCGAAACCATCCAAAAAACTCTTGCTACTACAGTGCATACTCTTAAGAGTATGTAAACAGCGATACGATTTCACACGAGCAGCCCTTTTACTCGTACCTATGGACGTAGTACGTCCATGGTCGTGCCAAAAAATTTACATCTAATGGAGAACAGGCGAATACTCGGGCCGAGTAGCGAGAACACCCGAACAAGGCGTTTACAAACGTGTACTCGTGCCTACTCGTCTGTGTTTGGCGAGTATGTTAATGTAATAAAAGAAATAAACATTTTTTGAAGAAACCGAGTTATGCATCACTACTATAGGTACGTAGTACTATTATTTATTAAGTGGCGAAGCTTGCGAAGTCACTTATTGATTTCACGATGTCTGTCCGTCTGTCCTAATGTCCGTCTGTCCCACGATTCTCTCGAGAACGGTTTCGAATTTTCAAATTCTGTTTTCAGCAATCGATTACTGATCACCCAGGTATCTAAACCTCCTATTTTGAAACTGATTGCTCAACGGCAACCGTTAGAAACCGCTACAAAACTGATTGCTTCGCCACTTTGCTATGGTGTTAGCTTGCTAGGTTTATTTTATGTAACTTTAGTTTTTCTTTGTGGGATAGACAGAAAGGATCGATCGCCAAGGGATCGATCCTGATACTTTCGCTTAATTTTTAGTTGGTTGTTATTGTAGGCCTCATTCAATGTATTCATAAATATTTATACATTCATACAACATTATACAGTTTCATTCGTGATAATTTTGGTTTAATTGGGCGACCCTTCAG